AGATGCAATTTTCCAATGGAGACCTTCTGATCCATTGGAAGCTGTGGTCGGGGGAGGAAGACTCCATGAGATGGATTGAAGAAGGATTCTAGTTGGGAGTTTCCAGGCTGCACTTGGGAATGTGAGGGATTCGTGGCTTTGTGGCAGTTTTCTTCGACATTACAAGACCAGTTGACACGTCAACCCTGGTTTATGGCAATTCACATACGCGTCAGAGTAGAGCTAGGCTCCAAAACATTTTCAATGGTTTGATTTCTTGGAAACCCACCATGAGGCCTTTCCTCTAAGGTTCCTTTGGATGACAGTGGACTCAAACTCCTATTCTTCCAGGTCAAGGATCCCTCATTCCACATGCACGCATACTTCTGAGAGATGATGCGTTTGCTTCTAGACCACTGTAATCAGCGATTCTTGTGAGGAAGCGAGTCACACAGCATGTCTTGTGTTCTCAGTGCATGTGAAAGTTATATTCATATATGTGTGGGATAGTATGACGAAGCACACTGGAGCTCTTAGGAGAATTTCCAAAACATGACAGAGAGATACCAAGTGAGCACATCCTGCTGGGAAATGAGACTGGTAGATTGCCCTGCTGTGGGGTCATCGCAAATGTCAACTTGTACAAAATAAAAACAAAAACAGCAACAACAAAAAATCCTCTGTGGTGATCTCTGACGACCATCAAGCGATGCACAATGAAACAAGGAATGCCAGTGCCACCTGAGAAAAGCCACCGTCCTGGGAAACTCCAGCAACAAGAATCTTGCTTGCTTGGACGAAGGGAGAAAACTCGAGCATCCTCCCACTGCTGCCTGGGAGACAGAGTCCCAGGCCTCTGCTCCTCACTTGGAGTTTCCCCTCAGCAATCTCATCCATTCACGGCTTTTAATACCCTCTCTCTGCGGGTGCTCCCGAATGTGGAGGACTTCCTTCCTTCCACCCATCTCCAAAAGGAAATTGGAACAGTTCCATACCCTCCTCTCAACGTGCGATTCCAAAATCCCAAAGAATCAGTGCTCTGCACATGGACTGAAAGAGTCCTGTGCAGAGCTCATGTGCAGAGCTCATGTCAGTCCAAGAATCAGTGCTCTGCACACAGCTACTGAAAGAGGCAAGTTTGGAAAGGTCCTACTTTGCTCATCAATCATGAAGCTCGAATGAACTACAAGGTGCGGCAGTAGCAGTGCCCAAGTATTTATCAGAGGAAAGATCAGCAGTTGAGCTAAGTGTTGCGGATTGTTTTATAACCGCCTAAAAGATATTTTGAAATCCTGGCCCCCGTGCTTGTCGAAAGGGGCCCTGGTGGGCCACCTAAGGTTTGGTTGTCCAAACCTACCAATCACTCCTCAGGAGAACTGTGTGACCGGGCAGCGATCTTCTAACGTTCATCCAGTCGATATGAGTTGGAATATCATCTGTACATTTAAAACCAAGGCCAAACAAACAGTCATTGTCATCAAGTTGATTCTGACTCCTGGCGACCTCATGTGTGTAGTGTGTTCCTTAGGATTTTCGAGCCTGCTAATGTTTGAAAAGCGGATCATTAGTCTTTTCTTCTTGTGTTTGGATGCCTTTTGAACTGTCAATCTTTTGGCTCATAATTGGGCACTTAGTCTTCTGTGTGGCCAAGGGAGTCTAGTGGACGCATTCAAGAGTTTGGGGCCTGTGAGTTTAATAGTTCCTTGAGGGCTAGAGATGCGGGGCTGGGAACCATCACAGATGTCACAGAACTCTCATCCACTGAGTGGGCAGCACTCCCTATGTGCTGACTACAGGTCACAGTCAAAGAAGAGTACTCACATAAGAGCGTTTTAGTAGCTCACTCAAAGCATCGTTATTTGGTGTGTTTGGGGGGCTTTCCTTCCCAGCCTGAACATTTTAATCATTTTAATGATAATAGTTTCTATGTATTACAAAGAGAAATAAGGAGCATTGGAGGTAAACTTCCTGGTGGGGAGCGGATTGAACTAAGTTTTGAAGAATGGTGAACACACTTTAATTAGAAGACAGGAAGTAATGAGAGCAATCCACAAGGTCTCTGAGGTGAGAACGAACTTTGTAGTCGGCAGGAAGCAAAAGGAAACTGGAGAGCCCTGGTGGTGGAGTGGTTACTCCAGTGAGTGAGGTTGGGCAGCCATCTGCATGATTGGCAGCTCAAAACCACCAGCAGGTCTGAGGGAGAAAGACTGGGCTTTCTACTCCCTTAAACAGTTATAGCAGGGGTCCTCAAACTTTTAAAACTGGGGGCCAGTTTACTGTCCCTCAGACCCATTGGAGGGCCGGACTATAGTTAAAAAAAAAAATTATGAACAAATTCCTACACACACTGCACATATCTTATTTTGAAGTAAAAAAACACCCGATGGGCTGGATAAATGTCCTCGGCGGGCCGTAGCTTGAAGACGCCTGAGTTATAGTGTCAGTAACCCACAGGGCGTTGCTATGAAGCAGCACTGCCTCAACAGCAGTGAATGTGGTTTGATTTGGAGCATGGTGAGCAAAGCCAGGAGAGCTCGGGGCTAGGAAGGAAGAGCAGGTAGAGGTCCTAGGACGAAGACCCTTCAAGAAGAAGGAATGAGGCAGTGGTCAATACTGAGTTTTAATCTAGAATGGGGAGAGTAGGAACAGAGATGACAGGTGGAAGACGTGGCACGAGTGAGAAGGACAAACACGCTTCTGGGAGTCACAAGGAGATAGTTGATGAGGAGATGGGAATACTGTTGAGGTGAAGATGAAATAAGGTAGCTCACTTGGTGTGCTTGAAGGGCTGCCTGCCCAGCCTGGACGCTTTCCACAGATTGGGACTGTGGAAAGCCCTTTCTGAGGGAGTTCTCTGGGTTAGGCAGAATGCAGGCAGACAAGCTACAACCCCGAGGACTCAGAAGGTTTTCTGAACCTGAGAGATTACCCAGTGCAACCAACAGGGAATATTCCAGGGACCGATGGTGTCTTTTCACGGCCCCTTTCCAGTGAGCGGTGTGATCGCATTTGACTTGTCACCTGCATTTTTCTTTTCTCACCTCAGGAGAGACAGTGATTTGGCTTGGGGGCATTAAGCGGGCTCGGAAGACTCACAGAATAAATTGAACACTAGGGTTTAAGGACACTCCCTTTGAACAATCTATCTCTCTATCCAGATGCCACCCTGTAGATATGAGAAAATGAAAGGTGATCGAAAACTAAGGAAAATAATTACTTTAGTTTGTTGTTGGATTGGTGCCCAGGAAGCATTTTATTCAAATAGTCTTTGAGACTAGAATGCCATTAAAGCAAAGACCAGCAAGGTGTTCTTAAAAATACGACTGCTAAATCAAACCCACTGTTTAATCCTCAACCCGAGGACGTTTACAAACCTGCTTTTTAAGGACGATGAGAAACCCGGAAGCTTGATCCTTGGCCTCTGCAGCTTTGGGCAGTGAGACTCCTAGACAGCTAGTTAACCCTTAGGGAGTGTTGCCTGCCTGTTTAGATTGCACTCCTGAAGTAGATGGTGTGACTCTCAGGTACATGAAGGACGTGAATCCCCCTCCCTGGTCTTTTGTAAAAGTGAGAAGCTGAGTTTAGGCTCAGAGATTGTATGCAACGCATTCAAGATTCTCCAGGGAGTTACTTACTGGCAGAAGCCGGATTTCCACAGCTCAGGATCTGTGATCTATGTGAATGTTTTCCCAGTTGTGTTCATGGGTGCTTTCTGATGGATGGAAGCCATCTTTGGGGCCGAGGAGGGAGTCAAGGGAAAAGAAGTGAATGGTGTTCTCATTTTACTCCAAGTCACCGAGGACTACCCTGTGTTTGCCGGCTTGATATTTGTGGTTTCCTTGACGGAGTTTGTTTGCCACAGAATGCCACTGCTAAAGACTATATTGAAAACCATCCATCCATAGTACAGCATCGCCTACGAAGAAAGAGGCAAGCACACTCACTCTGCTGCCTCGGAAAGTGCTTTTGTTTAAGGCTTACAATTCTGGTTTTTCTTCTACACACTCTTATCTTATTCAGCTTCCGCAGGGCCCTAATCGCCAGTCCCTGGTGGTGGGTGTTGTCCTGGAACTGCCATTACAAACAGAGTGAATAGCGGCAGCCTCGGCCTTCTGTCCGTCACTGTTCCCTTTGAGCTGCCTTGAATTGCCATATGGGCAATGCATGTGTGGTCTGGTCTCTCTTGGGGGCTCTGTGTCAAGTCTTCTCCCCCTTACACTTTCTGGTGCCATTGAACCAACAGAGTGCTTGTAATTAAAGGCAGTGCGTGGCAGGCTGACAGGATCGGTGTCAGTGTCTGGCCCCCTGAGGACCAGGGAACATTGTGGCCTAAGTTTTCCCATCTGTGTAACCCGATTGTTTATGTTTTTATGCATCAGTGGGTACAATCTAAATGTGGGTGCCACTTCTCTTCTCTAGCATGCTGTCTGCTCTATGTGCTTTGGGAACCTAGTAGAGGTGAGTCCCAAGAGGTGGTTTTTTGTTTGGTTTTTTTTTTGGCCATTTAACTTAAGTGAAAATGTAGGGTGCTATGGCTTGAAATGCATTGCTATGCTGCCCCTGGCTTCCCTGCAGAATGAACAATGCTTTTCTGCCGAATAGCAATTACAGACATTTTAGGAAGGGCTCAGCAGTTTTGTAAGAATGAAGCTGTATTGCTGAAGTGTAATGAGCCACACACAAAACGTCTCCTTTTGATGCAGCACCAGCACAGACCCAGGCCCTGCCACGCACGCGTGAGCACCGCCTTCCCTGCTTCCTGTAGGTTTGGGAGGCGCAGGGTATTCACTCCGCTTTATCATCACAGACGCAAAAGGAACATTCTGGTACAGAAAACTCAGCTGAAATGAATATCAGGGACCCAGCTTTTGCCAACTGATTACGGACCAAATATTCAAAAGCAGGTTTTGCAAAGTTCCGGCTCGCTCGTGGCCCCGCCCATAGCCCACACACACACACAGAAAGGGCTCTGATAATTATTGGCGATTTTGTTTACATTTTGAAAACGATTGGCGATTCTGTTTACGTTCTTTGACAAATCCAATGTTTATTTTAGTCTCTTATGTACAAAAAAGGTAAAACCCAAACAAAAATAAGAGCAAATAAGAGCCTTTTGGTCACCCCGATGATCCTTCCCCTGCTGCAGTCCCAGTTCATTACACCCAGAAGAGGCTGCCCCACCAGGTTTCATTTGTCTCCCAGAAAGAACATCCAATCTGGCGATCTGAAGAAGGCGAGACAGGAGAGAAGGGCTCATCATGTAGCCCGAGGGCATAGGATTCGGAGATAATCCCTCAATTAAAAATCCATCTAAACCTCAAACCGTCAACCAAGAATACGGCAGTTGAAGGTCTAAACCCACTTCCACTTAGTGACCCAGCAGTATCAGGCCTGGTGCTGCTTTGCAATCAGTTTGCATTTCTCATTTCCCAGAGGACATGGACCACTGATGTGTGAAGCAATGAGGTTATGGGCAATCTGAACTGTGAGTTCAGAGCAAGATTTCCTAGGGTCCTGCTATTTCCATAGGAAATTCTGGTACCAGGAAGTTTTTAGAATCTAAGGTAACAATGGTGTAGAGGGATCAGTTGATAATGGCTTGATCCATTTTTCTTGGAAAACAGACATACCCTGGGTAAAAAGTAAAGTCATTGATAATACATGCAGAGTTTTTGTTTTGAAGGCCTAATTCTGAATCGCTCCGCCATTTAAAAAAAATTACGAAATCAGTGATTAAAAGGCCTTTGGAAAGAAACTCATCACCTTTGCATATGACGGTCTTCCAGTGATCATTGTATAGGGTTTACTTCCAGCCAATTACCCATAGCTCCCTGGGCCAGGTGCTTTGCTTAGTACTTGCATACATAATTCTCGCAGAAGCTAATGACAGTTTCTTTAGAGTTACTGAGGCCATTAATTTTAATTCCACTTCTCCATGAAGTGTTTGTAGCCCCCTCTTATCACATGCATTATTTTAGAAAATGCGAGAGGAAAATGAATATACTTTTTAAAATTTAGGATTTATAGTCTGTAAAATTGATAGCATTTTAGCAGGAGCTCAGTGCTGACCTTTGAAGATTGATCATAAGTAATAAGTTCTCCCAAGAGAACAATTTCTAGTTGAAGAAGAGGAAACAGCTGAACTAGAGCTCTAGGATCTGTATATTAAGTATCAGCCACTTTGGACGTAGCACTTTTTATGGGTCTGGAAATAATACATTGGAACAATATGAATATACACCTTAGTTTATAGAGACAGGATGTATGAATTTTTAAAAAATGATCTGCATTGGCTGATGCTAACGTTTCTAATATTATTGACACGGCCATTGCATACATGTTCGTGAACACACAGCCTTAGCCCATCATGCACACAGTTCTGATAGGCCAATTTCTACCCCTTCCTGTGACAGGACAACAAGCAAATCAATGGGAAAAAAAGATGTGACACTTTGGAATTAAATCATATAGCTATTGCAGATTGCTCGCGGGACAATGAAGGAAATGATCAGGAAACATTTGGGAAATTACTGGTAATTCCATTTAAATTCTTTCATAGTTGTTTTTCTTCCTAAATCTCCAGCAGGTCATCTCCACTTTCATCACTCTCCACCGTCAACTGCCGGGTCCACCACTTCTTCACTTCCGAACCACAGGAGGCCGCATCTGGCATAGGGTTCATTTTGCACACCACGGATTTCATCGTCGTCCTCCCTCCAAACCGTAAGTTGACGGAGGACACGGAATGGCTTATTGGTTTGGGTGCTGTGGAATTAACAAGAGCCTGTGAGCAACTTGGTGTAGTTTCATCCTATTGTGACTCATTCCTGAGAACTCTTGATGGTCCCATTCATAATGCTGGGAATTCTTGCCCTTAGTAAAACTAGAAAATCACAAGTTACAATCTAGGCGCATAGAAGTGTGTGTGTGTGTGAATATTCAGAATCATATGCATACAGAGCAAAAAAGACAAAGAAGAAAGAGAGAGAGGGGCTGGGAAGTATGGAAAGACAACCACCCTAGAGAAACAAACAAACAGAGACCCCAGACGACTTGTTCTGGTGTCTATTTTAATGCATGGTAGCCTCCTGTGCATCTGAGTAGTGATGTGTGCTGTGGTTTTAAATGGCTGACTTCTTTTTGCAATGAGATCACCCAGCCTTTCTTCCAAGGTACCTTTGGCAATTCTACCTTTGAGTGGCCCCAAACCGCCAATCTTCCAGTTAGTAGTTGAGCATATGGACCGTTTTCCTCACCCAGGGATTCCATGGGAAGAAAGACATGGGTAAAGATATTCAAGGAAGATAAACTCAATTTTTTGTTGTTTAAAAAAAAATTTAGATGTGATCTAGGTATGGTAAGAAAGTGGTTCTCAGTTATAAAATAGGACTCGGGACTTACAGTTTTACACTCCAGTTGTTCGAACAAAGCACCGCATTGGGATGACTTTGTTAACACACTCATGGCTGTGAAATCCCACAGTTGTGGTTTTAGATCCTGGCTCTGTGACCTGTCGATATGTGTCTGGGGACAAGTTATCTTCTTTTCTCGGTAAAATGGAATGAATGCAATTTCCCCCATTGGGCTATTGTAGGACAACCTGGGAAACCCATAGCATAATACCTGGTGCACAGTTAGTTCCCCTCTAAATGCACTTTCTTCTTCCCCATTTGGCTGCTTGAATTTAACCTGGCTCTAAAAGCATGCCCCACTAATGGTCAACATTTCTGACATTTGTGCCTCTGAGGCTTGGACAAACAGCCTGAGAGATGCAGCAGCTAAATGCTCAGCTGCACAACAGAAATGGTGGTAAGTTGAACCCACCATCCGAGCCTTGGGAGAAAGACAAGGTAGTCTGCTTCTGTAAAGATTACAGTATGAGAAATCCTATTGGGCAGTGCTGTGGCATAGTGGGGTATGTACTGAGCAGCTAACCACAAGGTCAATAGTTCAAACCCACCTCAGGGAACAAGTCTTGGAAACACAAAGGGGCAGTTCGACCCTGCCCTGTGGGGTCAAGATGAGTTGGAGTCAACTCAGTGGCCATGAGAGGAGGTGGCAGCCAGTCTGGTTTCATGGGTGGGCTTGGGTCATTGGAGGTACTGTGGACAACAGTATTGTTATCCATTTAGGTGACTGCCAAGGACTATTGATTTCTCCCTAAGTCATCTCTCCTAGTTGTCCCGTTAGATTCTTGATGCTTGCCACCAGCTTTGGTCTGTGTCTTGTATCCCTACCTTCCTCTGAAGTCAGTCTTCCAAAAATATGGCCTCTGAGTGTACCTCATGCTCAAAACTTTTCTTGGCCATTAATTACCTATAGCAACAGCAGAAACTACCTGGCCCAACAGCCAAAGCTTCTCAGGCCTTGTCCCCACCACCTAGTCCATCCTGTTTCCTGTCGCTCCATGCGGTGCTTTAACCAACTCTAAACAAAATCTTCTATGATCCCTGAATAACTTCCTGGGTTTGAAAAAGGGTGTTTTTTTCTGCAGTGTTATCAAAAATTCACTAACCAACTCTAGCCTCAAAATGTGTGTTACTGTGTCTCGAGTTTTGTGGCATCATCAAGCTATAGAAGAGTTTACAATGTTGTTCATTTCTGACTTGGATTCGACTGAACTAGGGGCACAACAAAAAGAGCACCGGGAAGCTCCTGCCTTACTGTAGACTCAGGAGTGGGGAAGACCCTGGCTGTGTAGACCTGGGCTCTCCCTGAACTCCAAAATCCCTTGAGCAAGATGATACTGGCTTTCTCGATGTCCATGTTTCTCGAGAAGAAATTGCATTTTAAAGATCATTAGTAAAATGTAGAACCTAATATCATTTGAAAGGTCAAATGAAGGTGCATGTATAGTCATGTTTGGCACGCAGGAAACAACACACAAGGGGGCTTCACAAAGCTTGTGGAAAAATTCCATTATCTCTTGATTACATTTTTCCCCATGAACTTTTGGAAGCCCCCTGCTGTTGTTGCCATTGTAATTATGGAAGTAGAGCAGATTACATACAGACAGGGGCCAGTCAGGCTACTGTATCTGCCCACTCCCTCTCAGACGAAATGAATTTTGCCTGCATTTGAGAATGCCTTGATTGTACATGGGAAGCTTTTGGAAATCTACAGCCTGACTATAACAACTTACTTTAAAAAATAGGTGCAACCACCACAAATAGGGAAATAAAACCTAAGAACGAATATATTTGGAGACTAGTTTTGAGGGGAATATTTGTGACAATGGACTGGACTTTGCATTGCTTTGTGTATGTAAGTCACTTTGTTAACACACCTCGACTTCGGGATCCCAACCCTACGACTGGCAAAGACAGTACATGTCTTTGAAATGTCTCAAGGGTGAGATGCCTTGATGCACATACCTGAGGGCAGGCGCCATTGACCAAACTTCCTCTGGGGTTTCCCAGCTTCTCCGGAGTCTTGCCGACTTCCCCCTCGGTCAGACAGAGTGGGGCTCAGAAGCTGCTGCTGGCTGCTTGTCTGTGTGGGGAAAGAATTGAGCAGTGTTAGCTCTTAAAAATAACAGCAAAAAAAACCCTGCTTGTGGTAAAATACCAGTTATATACCAACGTGCAATTTTAAGTGTATAATTCAGTGACATTCATTCAGCCTGTTGTGCAACCACCATCACATCTCGTTGCAAATATTTTATACCACCCTAAACAGAAATGTCGTTCTTCTCACCCAGTAACCCTTCGGCCATCCCTGGTATCCTTAGCAAACTTTGGTCTCTCTGTAGATGCCTATTCTAGATATGTTACAAAAGCAGAATCATACAACATATTTATCCTTTCAAATGTGACCTTGTACTTTGCATAATATATTCAAGGTTCACCCATATGGTAGCATGAATTAGAATTCCAAGTCTCTGGATGGCTGAACATTCCATTTTACATATATCGCATTTTGTTTGTCCATTCATTTCTTCATGGTTCTCGAGTTATTTCTATTTTCAGTCTAATAGGAATCATGTCGCAATAAAATGGTTGGTTCTTAATGCTCCATTCTTGGACTACACTGGGTTGGGCCCCATTTAAAAGTTAAGAATGGAAGCAAGTGGGGTAAGAAATCAAATCGGAGAATGAGAAGGTGCCAGAGCATCCATGGCAGGGCAGAACAAAGTGCAAGTGCTGAGAAGATTCCAGGAGAGTAGAAAAGCCATCGTTCACAAACCAAACCCACTGCCACGGAGTCTCTTCTGACTCAAAGCTCACCTACAGGATAGAGTGGAACTTTCCAAGGGATTTCTGAGATGCTAAATCTTTATGGGAAAAGAGGTTTTATCTTTTTTCCGTGGAGCAGCTGGTAGGTTTGCACTACTGACCTTGGGATTAGCAGCCCAGTGCTTATCCTTCCACATCGCCAGTGCCCCCAGCCACCATTTCACATTGTAAAACGGAGGCATGGCTGTTCCGGTAGCAACTCCCACTGCCGCGTTCCTTCCACACTAGAGAACGCCACCTTGCATCTCTCATATCTGAGTGGCAGATTCTAGGTGGGGGCGATCTCAGAAGGAAGCTGAGGCAGTAGGCTCTGTTTCATTTGCCAACTTGAAAATCTGTCCTTGGAACTTCAGGAAAAGGAATCTTAGCAGAAACTCCATGACAAAAGTATAGACACACACACAAAATGTCCTGGCAGAGGACAAAGCTAATAAGAAAGGAAGCCTAAAGTCAAAGAGAAGTGCCACGCCTATCTGTGTTTCTGTTATCAGATGCCCTTGACTTGGTTGCAACTCAGAAGGACCTTATGCACAACTGAATGAAACAGACCCGACGTACAACTACCCCATCTTACTGGAACCATTCTCCCCAGGTTGGTACATTTGAGCCTGTGGTGGCAGCCCCTGTGTCAGTCCACCGCACAGCGGCGCTTCTGCTTTCTGGCTGCCGCTCTACCAAGCTTGCGTTCTTGTTCCAGGACTGGAGGAGCCACTTGTGCTCTCAGGACCATTCTGGTGGTACTTGTTTCAAGGCAGATTTGTGTGCTCCTAGCTTTTACCCACTGGCTGCTTCTCCCTTCCTAACCAACAAGCTTCCGTCTTCACAGCCCCTCATTTGGTTATCTTTGTGCTTTGGCTCAAACATGGAGACTTTCTGTAATCCTCCCGCTGCCCTGGCCTCATCAGCGCAATCTCCCTGGATGGCCTTACCTTACCCTGACTCCCACATGAGCTATTGCGTGCCTTCCCCAGAAAACAGGAGGTGGGAGAGCCACTGTGGAAGCCTCCCTTCCTTTCCTGTATCAACTATCCCCACCTGGGTGGGTGGCAGATGAATCCTTTAGACTGGGGAGCTAATAATATGAAATCCACCCTATAGTGGTTACAGAAGAAGAGGGTCCCTGGGAGCATCCTGTGGCCATGCCGCCGTAGGCGTCAGTATTTATCCCTGGCACCTGACTGGGCTACGACCCCCACGAGGCTTGGTGCTACCCGAGGGCTTGTCTCAGAATGCTGGATCAGCTCCATGTTGTTAACCTTGAGTAATAATTGCGCCCTCATGAAGAAGCAGGACTTCCCTGCCAGCTGTTCCTCGCAGCACAAGGCTCTCCAGGACTCTAATGGCTCTCTGCACTTTTTAAAAAAAATAGAAGTGTAGATTGGGTGTGCAAATGGAAATATGGTGTGCCTTCCTGAATAGAAGGTTCTCAAGCTAATTTCCCCCAAATTCCATATGCGATTCAGATGGCCAACTAAGGAGAAATGAAACTGCAATGGGCCTAAGTAATGAAAGGCAATTATAAGCACTCTCACTGCACTGAGTGAACATTTCTATGAGTCGATGATGGCAAGCCAAGAGGGCAGAACTTCATGTAAACCAGGCTCTCCTGGGTTATGTCCTACCATCGGGCTCATTAAAGCCCTTCCAGAGCTGCTGCTGCCTCTTTAAACAAGACCCAGTACAAGCGTTGGATTCTGTGCATTAATACCCATTTGGTATTTACCCAAATCGGGATCTTTTGAAACAATCTAAATTGATTCCTGAAAGGTAGAGACACAAACATAACATGCTCCCATTGTTTCCAATTAAAAAAAAAAATCCTATTAGAAACATTGTCACTTTGTGTAGAATCCTCATGTGGCTTGCGCCTTTTTTTTTTTTTTTTAATTAAAGAAAACTCCCCAGGACCCCCTTCCATGAAGAGCCATACCTCTGGCTGCATGCTATTGTCCTGACTGTTTGCATTCACGTCCTCACTTGGCTGGGTGGTCTCGATGCTGGGGGGATTCAGGAATCTGCTCAGCTCTTGTTGTTGACTCTCTCGCAGGCTGTGGATGATGCTGCACGACTGCTGCTGTTTCTACAGAACAAACATCAGTGCTCTGTGAGCAAAGGGAGAATAAGCCCGGAACCTCCCTGCCCAGCTTCTCCCAAGCCCCATGCTGTTCTCCTTCTCCAAAGAGCCTGTGCACCTGGTAACTACTTAGGCAGTTCCAACTGAGGGCTTTCATTTCTGCTGGCATCTGACTGAGCAAACGAGGGCCGATGATGAAGTCCTTTCCCCTTCCGCTTTCATTGGCATGACATTTGGGAGAGTTCCGGTCAAGCATATGTTTTAAAAAGTATTAACATGGACATTTTGCTATTGTTGGTTTCTCCCCTCTTTTTATTTATCTCGTGTTCCCCGAGCCAGTGCAGACTGCCTCTTTCCTGTAAGTCATGATAGATCGCTTTGCAAGGGGTCAAGGTTTTGCTTCTGTCTGGTTTCTGGTCTGACACAGGCCAACCCAGGGGAACAATTGGCTTGGCACATGCTGAGTGTGTGAAGTCTGGTGGTGAATCAGGGCTCCTGTGGCCTCTCAGGGCCAAAGCGGGGCTCAAATTGACCCCTCAGGCTAGTAGAGCTATGGCTGGCCTGCTGTGCCTGGGTCCCAGTGGGTAGTTGGCCTTGACATAAGCTCTTGGGATGTTTCACTTTTCTGGGGGGAAAAGATATGTTTCTGCCATTGATGTTGCTGTCACGAGGAGTGGGATATGAACATTTCTGCTATATGTTCATGTTCAGTTATTAGCTTGATTTTCTCCTCCATGTGTGCCAAGCCTATGTTAAAAATTTCTATAAAGTAATTACCAAATAGAAATGCCTGCTTTAAACATGGCATCTACTGACAACATACAAGTTCATTGATTATGAGTTAGAGAATCTTGTAAACTTAAATTCAAGAAGCAGCAAACAAAATCATTACACTTCCAGAAGAGCCAGTCTTCACTGAAGACCAAACAACATTATCAATAGTTTGGTGGGATTTTTAGGAGCAATTGAGAAGTCGTTTCATCAATTCTGTTGCCAGTCAATATATAGATACTAGAATCTTGAGCACTTGAGCTCTATAGATGGAGACTGAGATTTTAATATCAACAAAATGTTTTAAAATGCTTTTAGAAATGCATTAAGAGAGACAGCGGAAGATGGCCGCCTGTTAGGTAGCTCACACCAGGATCTCCGAGGAGAACGGTGAGTGGGGAGAGTTGGGGGCAGAGTAGGGGTACCAAAT